CAGCAGTGCTGGGCTGTCCTGCCTGCCCCGACCCTGCTGCTGCCACAGCTCTCGGGGCACCCACCCCCAGTAACACATGGGGAAACCACGGCACCTCCGGGCAGAGCAGCCAGTGAGCACAGCCCTGCACCACAGGACCGTCCCGGGCACAGGCTCAGGTGCACAAAGCCGTGGGACACCCTGGGACATAGTCCTAACACAGAGCACCCTGAGATGGAGCAGGCCCAGAGCCCCAGGCACCGTGAGCACACTTCGTGCAACCACATCAGACCAACCCTGTCATCGTGAGACAGTGACAACATGAGACCCAGCAGCAACATGAACTACAGCACATGTCCATGCACCGCTGCAGCCAGCCTTCCCTACCCCCGTCCCTGGGTGCTGGTTCCTCAGGAATTACTCTGGCAACCGCAAAGCCTCATATTTTATTCCCTAGACAGCCTGTTACATGGGTCAAAAATCCCAGCTGGGACAACACCTGCCAATACACCTCACTTTTGCCACACAGGCACCTGCTCAGCAGTAAAGCTCGGCTGCAATGCTCCCCAGAGCGGCTGTGACAATCCCCCCGCTCCAACGACACCCCTGCCCGCTCCAGGCACAAGCACGTCTCCACACTGCCTTTGCAGCAATGGCCACAGGAGAGCTGGAGCCTAGTAAGAGAAACCCAGCCCTGAACGCACAGTGAGCCACCCCACAGCAGGCATGAGGGGCACGAATTGCACACAGCGGTCTGGTCGCTCCGGTCCAGGCTGGCAGGGCAGAGTCACTGCGGGGTGGCATGGGACGTGGGACAAGCGCTGGGGAAGGAGGCGGGTGGATGCAAGAGCGCTCCAAGAACTGCACCCTGGCAAGCCTCACACAGGGCGTCGCGTTGGAGTGTGCCAGCTGCACACCCACATTGGCTGGATTTGCACCTCTTTGTTTCCAAACAATACATAAAGCAGGCACTTTCTTCATCTGGCTGCAAATCCTTCACCGAGCGGCAGGGTGCATCAGCCCTGCCTCTGCCGGCCCTCGGCCGCAGGGACGGGACATGTGCTGCCGGTCTCGGGGCCGCGGACAGCGCCCACACGGGGATCCCGCAGCCAGGAGCCGGGGCTGCCTCCTGTGACGCCTGCGTCCCCACGTCACCCCACGCACACCGTCCCCAGCATGGGTGCGGGTCACCCCGTCTACAGGCACCCTCCCACCGGCCGCGTGCCCCCGGGAGCAGCGCGTGGGCACGGCCTGGTGTGGAGACACAGCACCTCTGCGCTTGCAGCTCCTCCTCACCGTTCCAGGACGTCTGGACAAGGCAAAATCCCCAGCCTTCAGCTGCTGCTCGTCAGGGCTCGAGAAGGCAGGACGAGGTGTGCTGCCTGCCCTGCAAGCCTGGGAAACAGCGGGAGGAAAGAGCAGCTCAGGGCTCGGCCACAGCAAGTGCCTGGAGAAAGAGGGACTTTGCTCCATCCGAAGGAAAAGCTCAGGGCTGGTTCCCACCGTGGTTCAGCACACGGATGAGGAAGGTGGGGCTCTGGCATAAGGACACTCCAGACCCTCCCGGCTTGGGGGACAGAGTCATCTGGACAGAGCTACCAAAACTGCTCTCAGTAACGGGCTCGGGGTTGAGCCTTCCTGCAGGCAGAGCGGGCAGAGGCACTGGGAACCAGAAGCAGCCCCACGGGGAGCGAAAGCCTTTGCAGCAGCGCTAGTCAGCACGTGTGAACTCACCCCAGTGTGCCAAAATCATGCGG